GGAGGGGGGGCAGTGTTGTGTGTGTGGGGGTGAGGGTGGGACCAAATCCAGCTTGGCCACGTGTAAGGTAAATGCCCTACCCGCTGTACTATTGCTCTAGCCCTCGATGGGCTTTCTAAAAATAAAAGTAAAGTAAGTAAAGGCCCTCCCGTTGATCATCGATTTGCTCGAGCGGGCCCAGTAACGTCTCCATTGGAGACTTTGTTGTTACTGTGTCTGGCATATCGAATACTCTCGGTAGCTTGCCGGGCTCTCCGAGAGGGGCGGAGGAATCGAACTCGGGTCGGCCATGTTGGCCGCTTGTAAGGCGAACGCCCTACTGCCTTTGGCATATCTAAAAATAAAATTATAAATAAATGAGGCTAGGGGCTGGAGCGATAGCCCCAGTGGGTAGGGTGTTTGCCTTACTCCAGGACGACCAGGATCCCATGTGGTCCCCAAAGCACCGGGGGAGTAATTCCTGAGTGAAGAGCCAGGAGTAACCCCTGTGCATCGCCGGGTGTGACCCAAAAAGCAAAAGAAAGAAAGAAAGAAAGAAAGAAAGGAAGGAAGGAAGGAAGGAAGGAAGGAAGGAAGGAAGGAAGGAAGGAGGCTTTTGGGAAATTTTGAGTCTCACCTTCTATTAGGTCATTTAATCATATGAATGTTGGTGTATGTAGTATGATATATAGAGTCCCTGGGACCACCCCTGATAAACAGTGCTGAAGGGGTGAGGGATTAAGAAAACAAGACAGAAATAAGAGGGAAAAGGATGGGTGGGGTTAGGGGGCAATTCTGGCAAAATGTCAGTGATTCTAGGTTAGGGTTAAGAGAGGTGAAAATTGTACTGATCTTGCAACTTTTCTCAAATTTCAAAAAGTAAGGAGTGGATTGGGCCATGTCCATCAATGCTCCAGGCCTATTCCCAGCTCCTGGAGGTACTGAGGGTACTGTGCAATACTGGGGATGAGCCCCTGGACTCCCGCATGTGCTCAGATATTTGGGCTGTCCTTCAAAGCTTTTAACTTTGTTCTGTTTTGTTTGCAGGCCACCCCCAGCAGTGCTCAGACCTTATTCCTGCACTCAGGGGTCACTCTGGGCAGTGCTAGGGAACCATATGGGCGTCAGGAATTGAAGCTGGGTCAGCTGCATGTAAGGCAAGCACCCGACCCACTGTACTATCACTCTGGGGCCCATCCCTCGAAGTTTTTATCTCTTTTTAAGGGTCAGGATAAATATTGAAGGGGATTGGAGTTCTCTTGGACCCAGGCTCAGAGGGGCTTTGGCAGCAGACTGGTAACGAATGCTTAGACTAGAACAAAGTCAAGGTTGTCTAGAGAGGGCACAGTCAGAGGGGCACAGCACCTCTCTCAAGGGAGTCTGTAGAACATGGCCGTATCTGATGCAAAGGTGACTAAGGTGGCCCTTGTTTGCCACCTGGTGAGCAGGGTGGAAGCAGAGTGGCCAGCAGTGGAGTAGGGGTGCATGGGATCCAAGCATCTCTGGGTTTGTGACTGTTTCCATGACTCAAATTGGAACAGACACAGGGGGGGATTGTTCCCATGGGAGTTAAGTCTGCACTGCACTGTCCTACCATTCGATTTGCTCGAGCGGGCCCAGTAGCGACTCCATTGTGAGGCTTTTTGTTACTGTGTTTGGCATATTTAGTCAAATGGGTAAATGCCATTATGTTAAACTTTTCAAGTGTGGTAAGAGAGTAATGGCTATAAGGGCCTGAGCAATAAAGTAGCAGGTAGGGCACTTGCCTTGCACACAGCTATGTAAGGCAAGTTTGATCCTCAGCATACCTTTGGTCCCCCAGGTGCACCTGGAGTTATCACTGAGCTCAGAGTCAGTAATAAGCCCTGAGATGCATGGGGTGTGGCCCACAAACAAACAAAACAAAAGAGAGTAATATTACATAGGAAAATATTCTTGTTATTAGGAGAGACACGTCAGGATAGTTAGGGGCGAATGTCACGCTACTTATTTTCAAATGCAAATGTTTCAGAAAAAAAAAGTAGATAACTATAGCATAAGAATATACCAAATTTTAAAGTCTATGAATTTATCATAAAAGTATATCAGTATATACATGGAAAGTATCATGCTAAGCGAAATGAGTCAGAAAGAAAGGGATAGACATAGAAAGATTGCATTCATCTGGGGAACATAAAGTAACAAAATAGGAGACTAACACCCAAGAATGGCCGAGATTAGTACCAGGAATTTTACTCCATGGCTTGGAGGCCAGCCACACATGCTAGGGGAAAAGGGAGCTCAGATAGAGAAGGGAGCACCAAATAAAAAGTGTTGAGAGGATCCTCCCAGGCTGGGAGAAGCATGCTGAAAGTAGACTATAGACCAAACATGATTGCCACTCAATGCCTCTTTTGCAAACCACAACACCCACAAGGAGAGAGAGAACAGAGGGGAATGCCCTGTCACAGAGGCAGGGTGGGAGGAGGGAATGGGGGGTGGGAGGGATACTGGGATCCGTGGTGGTGGGAAATGGGCACTGGTGGAGGGATGGATATTTGATCATTGTATAATTGAAACCCAAGCACAAAAATTTGTAAGTCTACAACTGTACCTCATGGTGTCTCACTAATAAAATTTTTTTTTAAATTTTAAAAAAAAGTATATCAGTATAGGTCCTGGAAGATAGCACAAAGGGTGGTATGCATGCTTTGCAGGCAGGACGTATGGTTCTATCTTCAATACTGTATGATCCCCAGGGCTATTGCTTTAGCAGGAAGGGTGCTCACCTTGCACTCAGCCACCCAGGTTCCATCCTTAGCGCTCCATATGGTCTCCAAGCGCCACCAGGAGTGATTCCTGAGCACAGAGCCAGGAGTAAGTCCTGAGAACCGCAGGATGTGGCCCCCAAACATATACTGTATGGTCCCCTCAGCATTTCTAGGACTGACCCTCGAGCACAGAGCCAGAAATAAATCTAGAGCACAAAAAGGCATGGGTACCTCACCCCAAAATATATGAATAAAGGGCTTAAGTATCAGTATGTATCACTGTATCACTACCCTCCCGTTATTCATCGATTTGCTCGAGCGGGCTCCAGTAACGTCTCCATTGTGAGACTTGTTCTGTTTTTGGCATATCGAATATGCCACGGGGATCTTGCCAGGCACTGAAAAGCTACATATCCTTCTAGAAATCATCCCATCACATCCCGACTCAGGGAGCTCCACTGCCTTCCCATTGCCCCTTGGATGCAGACAAACCACCAATCAGGTTTAGAGGCCCAGGACTGCGGGGTCATTGGGCCCTACATCTGGTCGCTCCGGTGTTGTCCCATTTTCTCTCTCCCGGGCTCCAATCATATTTCTTAGGGTCCCCATATTTTCTGTCTTTGTGTACCAGTATTACCTAACTTCTCTTTTTGTTTGTTTTTTGGACCCCACCGGGCTGTGCTCAGGGCTTGTTTCTGGCTCTGTGCTTGGGGGTTGCTCCTGGCAGCGCTCCAGGGACCATAGAGGGTACGGGAGATGGAATCCAGCTGGACCGCTTACAAGGTCTTACTTTCTGTACTTCTGGGACCCCACTCCTCTAACTCTGAGGGACAGAGAAAGAAATTGTCCTATTGCCTCTTCTATACTACTCTAAAACCCCCCAAAAGTTTTCTCCATGGCTCCCAGTTCTGGGTAACATGCCTCTCTGGCTGGCACCCTATTCTTTTTTTTTTTCGTTTTGGGTCACACCTGGCGATGCACAGGGGTTCCTCCTGGCTCTGCACTCAGGAGTTACTTCTAGCAGTGCTCAGGGAGCCATCTGGGATGCTGGGAATCGAACCCGGGTCAGCCATGTGCAAGGCAAAACGCCCTACCCGCTGTGCTATCGCTCCAGCCCCTGGCACCCGATTCTGAGTCACATGAGAGCACTAAGCAGATGATGTTGCCATTCCTCTCCTCCTGCCTCATTTCCCCCCTCCCCCGCTCCCTACACCCTCACTTGTCCATTCTCTGCTTTCTGTCCTGCGAGCACGCCTTGCCTTATTTCCTGGCCTCCAGAATTGGCCTAAGATAACCATACACTCAATAATCTCGTAGAACTTCCGTTTTCTTCTGTCAAATAAAGGATCGGCTAGGTTTCATGCAAAGTTTCTTTGCAATAAAATGGATTGAAGGGGCTGGAGCAATAGCACAGCGGGTAGGGCGTTTGCCTTGCACCTAGCCGACCTAGGTTCGATTCCCAGCATCCCATAGGGTCCCGTGAGCACCGCCAGGAGTGATTCCTGAGTGCATGAACCAGGAGTAACTCCTGAGCATCGCCGGGTGTGACCCACTTAATCACTTAACTTCCCGTTAGTCGTCAATTTGCTCGAGCGGGCGCCAGTAACGTCTCCATCTGTCCCTGTCGCGTGCTAGTGTAGCCCAATGGCATCTCTTCACTCCGGGAACATGAAGGGCCTCAAACCGATCGTTCATGATCTTGACGAAGAAGTCTGACCATCTGGTAGGTGGGCGGCCACGTGGTCTTTTGACATCCCATGGAATCCAGTCAGTAACAGCTCTAGTCCAGCGGTCGTCTTTAAGTCTCATTACGTGACCATCTGGTAGGTGGGCGGCCACGCGGTCTTTTGACATCCCGTGGAATCCAGTCGGTAACAGCTCTAGTCCAGCGGTCGTCTTTAAGTCTCATTAGGTGACCAGCCCATCTGATTTTCGACACCTTGGCAAATGAGACAGCGTCCCTGATCCTCGATCGTCGACGGATGTCAGAACTCCGGATTCGTTCTCTCATTTGAGTGAACCGTGATATTCCAAGCATAGCTCTTTCTATTCTTCTTTGGGAGACCTGAATAGCGTTCTCATCTTGGGTGTGACCCAAAAAGAAAAAAAAAAAAGGATTGAAAACCGTATGATCCGTTGCGCAGGGATTTGCGTTTTCTTGGAATTCCTGCGGCTCAGGGCTCGGGGCCAGCGTCCTGAGACTACAACTCCCGTGAGCCTCCGCGCCGGCGACTACATCTCCCAGGGTGCCTCGCGGCACGGAGCGTCTCCCGCTGCCGCTGCGGCCGCCGAGCGCGTGGTTGCAGGTACGAAGGTTGCCCGCGCCGGGGTTCGGAGGGTCGCGGGGCGGTCTCGTCCGGCCTGGGGGTCCGAGGGTCGCCGGGCTGGCTCGTCCGTGCTGTTGCACGCTTCTGATCGCTCCTCCCCTCGCTGCCCGCGACCCCCCGGCCGCTTGCTTCTGCACGGGCGGGCGTGCAAGGGGACCGGGCAGCTGTGCCCTGGGCTGGGCTCCGGCGGGTGGAGCGGACGGGGCCGGGGCGCGGCGGGCCCGGGCTGACCGCGCCGCCCTCCGGCCCCCGCAGTGCCGATGCTGAGTGGACAGCTGCTGGGCCGCGCGCGCTCCATGGCCAGCGGCGCGTGCGGGCCCCGGGGTGCCGCGGGCCCCGTGGAGGCGACCATCCGCAGGAAGCTCGAGCAGGCCCTGGAGCCCGACGTGCTGGACGTGCGCAACGAGAGCGGCGGCCACTCGGTGCCGCCGGGCAGCGAGACGCATTTCCGCGTGGCCGTGGTGAGCGCCCGCTTCGAGGGCTTGAACCCCGTGCAGCGGCACCGGCTGGTGCACGCGGCGCTGTCCGAGGAGCTGGCGGGGCCGGTGCACGCGCTGGCCATCCAGGCCCGGACCCCGGCGCAGTGGCGGGAGAACCCTCGGCTGGACACGAGCCCTCCCTGCCTGGGCGGCAGCAAGAAACGAGGCGCCCCCTGAGCCCCGGGGAGAGCGAGTCCCGCGGCCCCCCAGCCGGACTGCTGGGAACACTGCCCAGCCGGCTTGGAATTCCATGATCCGATGCATTAAACGAACTGACCCGATGGAGTGCACTGCTGTCCTTTATGGCCACTGCGACAATGTCCCTGGAAGAAAGGCCCCCGTGGGGCCGGCAGGAGGCTTCTGAGAAGGGATCCCGGTGGGTCCTGACACGGAAGCACAGACCTGAGCTGGACAGACAAGCCAGGACGAGCAAAGGCAGGGGCAGGGCAGGGCACAGAGTACGTGAGCCGGACAGGTCACTAGAGTGTGTGCCTGTCTTTACCAGCCAGTCCGTTTCCAACAGGATTTGCTTGATTTGAGAAAAATCTTTGAGGAACGGGCTGGAGCCGTAATACAGCCCAAAAGGTGCTTCCTTGCATGCAGCCAACCCAGGTTTGAGCCCTAGTACCACATGTGGTCCCCCAGTCCCCACCAGAAGTGATCTGAGCACCGGATAGGAAGGAATTGATTGGGGAGCTATCCACAAAAGTCAGCAAACTGATTAGAATGGAGAGCACGAGGACGCCCCTAAGTAGTGGACTGCTGGGCCCCCCAGAAGAAGAGTTCCCAGACTGGGCTGTGGAGGGGTTTATTTAGTTTGGTTGGTTTGGGGGCTACACCCAGCGGTACTCAGGGATTCCACCAGGCTCTGCACCCCTGGCAGTACTCAGGGGACCATACCCAATGCCGGGGATAGAACCCAGGTCAGCCACGGGCCAGGCAAATGCCTGTCACTTGGGCCCCATGTGGGGATGTAAGCACTTGACTCTCTGATCCCCAGGATCACCACTGTGGCCCCCTTCATTTTCTGCTCCCTGTAGCCCCTGGCAACCATTTCTCTGTAAATTTGACTGAACTCTTCCATGGTCTTGTGGCATTTCTCTCTCTGATGAGCTTACTACTCATAGAATATTAATGTCCTCCTACTTCTCCATGTTGTCACATCATGCAGAACTTCCCATTCGAAAGCTGAATAGTCTTCTGTTGTGTGTGTATACCACATTATCTTTGTCTGATAGACACATAGATTGTTTCCATATCTGGATACTCAGAAATGGGACTGCTGAATCCTACAAATTTGTTTTCAAACACACCGAGCAGTGCTCAAGGCTTCCCCTTAGCTTTGTGCTAACAAATCACTCCTGGAGGGCTTGGGGGACCACATGGGGGTGCTGGGGGTCAAATCCTGGTCAGCCACATGCAAGGAAACACCCTACCCACAGTACTATCACTCTGGGCCATAGTATTAACTTTTTGAAGTACCTCATACTCTTCTAAAATAGCCACACCATTTTGCACGCATGGATTTATCAATTCTCTCATCTCTCTTCAACTCTTAATGGTTTTGATTTGAATTCCCCAAACGATCAGTGATAGCTTTGGGTGCTGGGGGAGGTTGCTGGCCACACCCACCCACCAGTGGTCAGGGATCACTTCCGGCAGTACTTGGGAGGCTATATGAGGTGCCAAGGATCGTCGTGGCACCTCACAGTCTCCCGAGGGTCAACCACATGTGCGGCAAACACCAGAACCCCCCTGGCCAAGTACTGGCATTTTACCTAACCCTGATTCATTTCTAATCTTTGAAGAGATAGCTATGCAAATCCTTGGTCCATTTTAAAATCCTATTGTTCACCTTTTTGATACTGAAATGTAGGACGCTGGGAATGAGATTAGACATGGATGTAAGGCATCCGACTGGCCGTCTTTGGGGGAAGAGTTTCCCTGCCACTGACCCATCTTCGGGTCCCTCTACCCCATCGGGCCGTGGACAGCACATGCAGCCATTCTGAATTTGAAGGATGGTTCCTTTTTATTTTTCATCAATACTTTTCATTTTCACATCAACAGTTATATTTAGGGTTCCCCAGGAGAGCAAGGGGCATGGGGGGTTCCCCTGAGGGCTGCAGGAAAAGGCTGCGTCCAGCGGGAAGGGGGCACACGCGTACACAGGGCACTGGGAGCAAGGCTGTCCTGGGAACTGAGGTCAGACAGTCACCACCGGTGGCCACAAAATGGGTGTGGCCATGAGCTCAGGACGCTGGACACAGCAGAGGAAGGTGAATTTGGATTTTCCTTTTGTGTGGTTGTTTGCACTTTTTCCTTTTAACTTTTTTTTTTTTAAACACTTACAAACAGCTAAAAACTACAACACATCACAGCTACAGTGGGGAGGGGGCACCAGAGAAAGCGGCCACGGGGGAGGAGGGGCAGCATGGTGGGCAGCTGAGCCTACAGGGCAGAACTGTGGAGGGGAGCTGGGGGTGCAGGCCTGGCTCCAGCTCCAGGGTCCCTGGCCGACTCCCAACCCGCCCCCTTCCGAGGGGTCTCCAGGGGCCCCTGCCACAGCTCTTGTGCTTCTATCAGCTGATTGGCGCTGGGCCAGCCCCCGCTGGCACAAGGAAAAGACCCTAGGGGGACCCTCTGGCCTTGTCACGGCCGGCCCCGGGCGCCCCCTTCCTAGCTAGGCCTAACACAGAAACAGGCTGTGGGAGCCCCAGGAGGCAGCAGCCTGGGTGTCTGACAGTCCAGTGATACCCTGCCCCTTGGCACATGCACGCAGGCGCGCGTGCACACACACACTTACACACACATCCACACACATTCGCACGGTCCTGCAGAGCTGCCTCAATTCACTTGAGAAACCAAGAGCTGGAACGCTCCTCTCAAAAGTGTGGCCTAGCAGAAAGAGGTGGAGGTCAGAGGGTTATTGCGGCTCCCGGGTCCAGCAGGAGGGGGAGGGTGCCCACCACCAGCCTGACTCCCAAAGTCTTTTGGTCCCTGGGGTCTGCAGGATCTACAGCAAGTGCTGGCCCTCCATAGCCTGAGGTTCAGCAGGGCCCAGAGGGGCAGTTGGACAGAGGAGGCGGGAAGCTGGTCTAGAGCCGAGAAGAGCAAGGGCCCCCTCACTAACGGGAAGAAGCATGGGCCGAGCCTTCTCTTTTGCAAAGGGTGGCAGAAAGTCGGTGAAGAGTGCACCCCAGACCCTGCCCCGGGCCACACACACAGACACACACACGCTCCCATGGCTCAGACACCAACACGGGGGGCTTGGGGGCACAGGGCAGGAGCAGGGAGGAGGAACTGTTGGTCTCACAGTGTGCCCGCCGCCTCGGAGCCCCAGGGCCCCTCACTGCAGCACCTGCCCTCGGGTCTCGGGCAGCTTCAGGGCCAGAGAACTCCCCAGGGCCAGGGCAGCCGAGGCAAAGAGGATGGGGGCAGCCTTGGTGACCCCCACAAAGGAGGTGAAGATGCTAATCCCCAGCACTGCTGCCAGCTTGCACAGAGCGTTCAGGAAGCCGAAGGCAGTCGTCCTGCCGGAGAGTGCGGCGGCGTCCACGGGAGGAGCGCAGGGAAGAGAGACCCGAATCAGGTTAGCAGCAGATACTCACCAGAGGGCCCCCCTTGACCCTAATGCTTTCCAGCCCCCTGCTCCCCGAAATCCTCAGCTCTAGCCCCACCCACACCCCAACTACCTCTTGTCCGAGGGGTAGAGCTCAACGGTCAGCACGTCCAGCGCATTCCAGGAGGCGATGCTGACCCCCCCAAAGAGACAGAGCAAAGCAATCATGGCCGATTCACTGTTCCCAAACGATAGGAAGAAGCAGGAGACGCAGGACATGACGCTGGAGCCAGCTGGAGCCGGGAAGGAGACGAGCACAGCAAGTCACCCAGAGCCCTCCACACCAGCCTGCCCTCAGCCATCTCTGACGCCAGCTCACTTGAGGCTCTTTCTCCAACAGCCTGTGAACGGGAGACTCACCCCGGCCCCTCTGACAACTGTCTTCTCATTCAGGACACCAGGAGCAAGCATGTCAAACTTAAAACCTGCTATGAGCCAAGCTGGCTTGACATTTCACATGCAGTGATCTAACATGTCACCCCCATGAACGGGTATCTCCTCTGTACATGAAACAAGTGGGCTCACAGATTAATCATTTTCCCAGGGCTAGAGAGAGAGTACAGATTCCAGCTGAACCCCCATCACCACACATGGTCCCCAGATGCCCCCAGGAGTCATTCCTGAGTCAGAGCCCAGAGCTCTGAGCAACACCAGTCATAGCCCCCAAAGACCCCAAAAGAGATAAAAGAAAGAAAAGAGAGAATCTGCCCAAGCAGGCAAGGAGCGGAAGTTCCAGGTGTCAACCTCAGGCCAAAGAGGCAGTACAGGAGGAAAGACACTTTGGTGTTGGCTGTGACATGGATCGAATTCCCAGCACCATATATGGTCCCCTGAGCACCACAAGGGGTCACTCCTACTGAGTCCAGAGCCAGGAACAGCCCCTGAACACTGCTGGGTGTGGCCTCGAAACAAAAAACAAAAATTCAGGTGCGTAATTTCAACACCTGTACACTCCACCAGCCTTCCCTCACCGGCACTCCCCAGAAGTCCCATCCCATGTCCCAGCCGGCGCCACCTGCCCCTTACAGGAGTCCTGCATGGAACCTTCTGGGCGAAGCTTCCTTGGACCAGGATGAGCCACCGTCAACAGCCGCCCGTCGGCCCCCTTACCAAGCATCCGGAGCCTGCCGATCTTGTCCATGAGCAGGGCGGACACGATATTCCCCGGGAGCACAGCCAGTGTGCCCAGGAAGCTGACAAAGTAGACCATGTAGGCACCTTCGCCCGTCCCCGTCACATCAAGCTGGCAGCCCTCCTTGCTGTGCAGGAAGGTGCTATTCAACAGGCGGCTCTTCACGAACTTGTATTCGAACAGGTCTGTGCAAAGGCAAGGAGGCGGTCAGGGCCAGGTGTGGGGGGCATGACTCAGGACTCGGCCGCTGAGGGCGCGGATGGGGACCAGAGACCTCTAGTGTAGAAAGTGGCACAGGGTGATGGCACAGCGGGGAGGGCATATTCCTTGCATGCGGCTGACCCAGTTTTATCCTCAACATTCTACAGAGTCCCCTGATTCCTGAGCACAGAGCCAGGAGTGAGGCCTGAGGATTGCCGGCCCAGAAAGAAAAAAAGAAAGTGCCACAGCCTGCAGGGAAACATGGACAGACAGGCCCCTTCCGTGCTTCTCAATGACAGTCTCTGCTGATGGCACCTTCTTTCGTTCTGCCCTAGGCGAATCCCAAGCTGCCCCTGTGTGACGGGTTTGGGAAAAATCACTGAGGAAAATATTTAAAATCATGAAATGTCCTGTCATTCTTTTTCCACTGAGGCGAGGAAGCTCACCATTCGAGGTGAGATGTTCGCAAAATCAGCACTTCCTATGCCCGTAGTTGGCGAACCGCTGTAAAAGAAATTGATTCAGCCGAGAAATAAGACAGGGATTAAAGCACTTGCCTTGCATGGAGCTGGCCCTGGTTTGATTCCCCGAGCACCTCCAGGGGCAAGCCCCGTGCACAAGCTCCTGAGCACTGTTGGCTGTGTCCCAAATGCAAAAACAAACAAAAGAGCAAAAGGATTCAAGGATCCAGGAGAGGGTTCAAAGGCCTGAATGCGGGAGGCCTGGATTTACCCCTGCTGGCACATGGTTCTCCAGCAGTGCCCAGAGCAAACTCCAAGCAGCGAGCCTGGAACAGCCCATGGGACCACTCTGTGTAGCTCAAAAATTAAACAAAAATTCATGTGACAAATCCTAACCTGGGAGCATGATATAGTCGGTAGAGAGCTTGCCTCGCACACAGCTAACCCAGGCTGGATCTCTGGCACCCCATATGATTCCCTGATCACCAGGAGTGATCCCTGAGCACTACCAGGTGTGCTCCCCACTCCCCCCATAAAAATAAAATAAAAAAATTCTCAACTTTTGTCCAGTAAATCCCTTTTACCGTTTTTCTCCACGACCCCACCCCCAAGCTGTGAATTTTCTTAATTTTATTTTTTTCCTTTTTGGGTCACACCTAGTGATGCACAGGGGTTACTCTTGGCTCATGCACTCAGGAATTACTCCTGGCGGTGCTCAGGGGACCATATGGGATGCTGGGAATTGAACCCGGGTCGGCCGCGTGCCAGGCAAACGCCCTACCCGCTGTACTATCACTCCAGCCTTGAATTTTCTTAAGTTTTAGTTTAAAAAAATTTCTTTTATGATTTGTTTTGCTTTTGGGGCCATACCCGGCGATGCTCAGGGGTAATTCCTGGCTCTGCACTCAGGAATTACCCCTGGCAGTGCTCGGGGGACCATATAGGATGCCGGGGATTGAACTTAGGTCTGCTTCCTGTTCTGGCCCCTTCTTGAATGATTTTTGAATGATCTTTATCATCTGAATGATTTTGCTCTTGAGATCAGAGCGCTGAGCTACTTTCATTTCGGCCAGAGGCAAAGAAATGGGATATCTCACTACTCGAGCTCCCAAGGGAAAATACTGTTTCCGTACGACTGAGAACCACTACTGATAGCTGGAAGGTGCACAGGGTCCAGGTAAGAACTAGAGTGAGGGGATAAAGTGTCTTCCCACCACCCAGGTCTGCCCGCCACAGACATCCAGCTCACCAGTGTTGTAAAACACGGTATTGACGAATGTGCAGTTCCGGAAAAATGTGTTGGTGGATGTGACGTCCTCGAAATAACACTCTTCGAAGAAGGAGTCCTCGAAGATGACGGACTTCAGACGCAGCCCGATGAACCTACAAGGCAGGGGTGAGAGGCGCACCCTTCCCAGCTGACCCCGGAAGGAACATGCCAGGAACACGGGGACTTGGTCCCCAGCTCGCAGCCACCGAGTCAAAGGCGAGGGACAGTGCAGGGTGAGGGGTGAGACCCCACATACTTGTCGTTGAAGTACTGGCCCCCACGGTGGATCTGGTTCTCCAGAGTGAAGTTGAACGTCACGTGCTCCACCCGTTCTCCAGGGAACACTTTGGTGCGGGATGCATAGTCCACAGCCTGGAGGTGGCGGATCATGTCAGGGAACCAGACGGTCAGGCCATAGTAGCTGAAGGGTCCGGGAAGATGGAGACAGACAGGGCAGCGAGAGTGAGAGTCCAGAGCCCGGGAGGTGCGGTGAGGCTTAGCCCACCCTCTCCCTTCACCAGCTGTTCTTTTCAGGGGGCCAGTGATGCCCAGGGCTTCCTCCTGGCTCTGTGTTCAGGGATCGTCCCTGGAAGGGCTTGGGGGGCCATTATGGGGTGCTGGGGGTGGAATGCGGTATGCCACCTACAGATCAGCTGCCCTTCCCCCTGCGCTCTCTCTCCAGACCCTTGCCCGTGAGTCAAGGTGGGAAGCCAGAGGAGACAGAGCCCCTTACCTCGGCTCTCACCCTGCTTGTTCCTGTCTCCGTGACCCTGCCCCTCACCTGAAGGACATGGTAAACCACACGCCCATCATCATCAGTGTAATGCGCCGATACTCAGGTCCGAAGCAGGAGAGAAAATTTCCCCAGACCTGGGTGGACAGACGACTGAGCTGGTCAGCTGCTGCACCCACTTCCGTGCCCTACACCCCCACGACACCAGTCCAGCCCTGCTTCATCTCTACCCCCCCTACCACCCGTCCCCCATTACCTGGCCCCCCAAGCTCAAGGCCCGGACACCCCAGCGCTGGTACCAGGTCCCAGTGTCCGACTGGATCTCAATCAACTCATCCTCCTGGTGAATCGTCTTAATGTGGGTCACCTGGGGCCAAGAAGGGGCTGAGTAGCTGGAGGATCTACTTCCTGCCCTTTGGGGTACAGGAGGCCAGGGGTGGGGAGACTGCTCAGAGCCGTCTAGGAAGGAGACCCGGTGTCCAGAGAGGGGCCTCCGGGGCGCCGGGAAATGGCGCAGGGAGGGAGAATCGGGGCCAAGGGACGGGGGCGGGGGCCAGGGTCACGGGCCAGGCCAGACTCACCGAGAAGACGCGCTCAGGGTGCCCCTTGGCGCGCATGTTGGTGTCATGGACCTGCTTCAGCACCATCCAGGCCTCGTCGTGCTTCCCATTCTAGGGCCGCAGACACCCCGTGGGTGAGCCCTGACAGTGGCCAACGGACCCTCCATCCTCCCGCCACCTGCAACCTGGTTTCTGGAGCCACTGGACGCAGGAAAGCCCCCGGAGCCCTGCACCTTTGGGCACCAGCTCTGAGCACTGAGCTGGGGGTAGCGAATGGGACAGCTGGGCAGGGACGGGGTAGGGGCATGCAGGAACGAAGACACATGGGTCCTGGGGCTGCCCTAGCGCTGCAGAGAGGACGGGGGGGTGGGGGCGCAATGGTGAAGGGCATGCAGAGAGGTCCCTGTGCCTCAGGCAGTGACGGGGACTGGGGACGGGGCCGGGGACTGTCAGAGCAGGGTGAGGGCCTGCAGAGTCTCACTCCAATCGACACAGGTGCCCCATGACCCCTGGGAGAAGTGCCACCAGATGACGGGAGCGGGTCCCCAGACGGGGGCGCAGCAGGGAGGAGCCAGCCAAACCCGCGTGGGGGGTCTGAACACACGAGCCTCGGTGCCCCGTGCAGCCCCGCCCCAGTCACCTCCAGGAAGAAGCGGGGACTCTCGGGCTGTGTGGTCAGAGCCCCGATGGCAAAGACAGAGGGGAAGGCGCAGACGAGGACAAAGACCCTCCAGCTGTGGAACTGGTAGGCGGACCCCATCTGAAAGCTCCAGCCTGAGGAGGCAGAAGAGCGTCAGCACAGCATCCAGGCGGCACCTTGGAGGGAGCTCGGCGGGGCCAGGCGGGGGGCCAGGCTGCTCACCGTAGTGGGGGATGATGGCCCAGGCCATGGCAGCCGCATACACCCCACCAATCATCCAGAACATGCAGAGCCAGCTCAAGTGCTCCCCACGCTTCTCCTGGGCCAGAAACTCGGAGAAATAGGAGAAGACAATGGGGATGGAGCCGCCGATCCTGGAGGACAGGGCAAGAGTTCAGTGCGGGCAGGCACAGTCCTCACCCCCACCCCAGCCCCCCGCACTCGAGCCTCCGAGGGAGACTCAACCCAACCTGGAACTCAGGAAGTCAGGGCTCAGGAACACAAAGGAGCCACCAGAGGTCTTGGAAAAGGAAAGGCCCCCAAAGGCAGAGGGCACGAGGGCAGGTTTCTGGAAGCAGGCCCAAGAGGCTGGAGACAGGCAGAGGAGGGCATAGGCAGGGGCGAGGGGCCGCTCAGGGTCCAGGGTCTGGCAGTGGCAGGCATCAGCCAAGTGTGAGGAATGCGGGAAGCAGGGGCTGTGGGAAGGTGTCTGAAGGTCCAGGACACTCCGGCGTGAGGCTGAAAGCTCCTTGGCCCCCTCGTGAACCCGGGCTTTGAGTGGAAGTGGCGGTGCGTGTGGGACAGGAGTGGCCCAGGAGCAAACCGCTCCGGAGACAGCAGGCAGCAGGGCCCTGGTCTGACAGTGGGCAGCTCCGACATCACTGGGGGCCCGGGCCAAGAGCCACATGCTGCCCTCCAGAGGCCGAGGTGGCGGACACTCACCCAACCCCAGAAAGGAGGCGACAGAAGAGGAAAGTGCCATAACCCTGGACAAAAGATGAGAAAAAGGCAAAGACACTGTTGACCGAGAGTGAGATGAGTAGACACTGTCTCCGGCCCAGCCGGTCGGCCAGGCCACCCCAGAAGAAGGCGCCCACCATCATGCCCAGGTAGACGATGAGGCCTGGAGAGAGGGAAAGAGAAGGCGCGTGAGCCGGCAGGGACGCTGCCCAGGCAGGTCACCGTGAGTGGAAATGACAGCAGCACGACCAACGCTCAGGGGAGTGACGGCCACCAGAGACGAAGGTGCGTGAGGGATGATGGATTTTGTGAGCAGAGAGGCAAGGTCACGCCTGCAGGCCCGGGGCTCGGCAGCAGAAGCAGACAGGGGAGAACCCAGTAATCCTACTGTTCCCGTCTCCTCCTCTTGCTTCACTGCCACACCAGCAGTGCTTAGGACCGACTCCTGACTCTGTGCTCAGAGGTCACTCCTGGAAGGCTTGGAGGACCCTATGGGGTGCTGGGCCTCAAACCTGTGTTGACAGCATGCAAGGAAGTGCACTGCCTTCTGTACTCTCACTCCAACACCGCTTCTAACACATGCACACACACACAAACACGCATGCATGCACGCACGCACGCACATGCACACACATGGCATGCCATCGACAGCTTGCAGGAATGAGGACTAGATATATCAGGTCTCCCAGACTCTCCCAGTATCTGCCTGTCCCCCTTCAGATTCTCTGAAGTTCCCTGGGTGAATGGCTCAATTCCTTGAAATGCATTTCCCAACCCCAAAGGAAATCCTGGCCGTAAAAAAAAGTCCTTCTTGGGGCTCTATCACATCTGCTACTGAAACTCCCGTTTCTTCCTCTCCCTTCCTGAAACTGGTTAGAACAAGCTGGAAAATCACCTACTCAGAACTCTGCCTCTGTACCATGTCCATGCCACCCCATGCCACGCCGCACGGGGCCACGTTATCTCAAGGTGAGTCGGGGGGGGGGGGTCCTCCTTCAGGAGGAACGCTCTCTCAACACTCCCAAGGCTTCCTGAGAGCAGGGAACCACGTCTCCAGCTGAGGGCCCGGGATCTCTCCCCAGGTGCAAAAAAACATCCCCCATGAACCCCGGGACCTAGAGACTGACTCCGTGCCCCAAGTCAGGAAGGGGAAGCAGGACCACGGACCACCCAGTCCCCACTGCCCTCTTCCCACTTGGCACTTCACGCCCTGGAGAGCCCCTCCAAGACAGGGATGCTTGCGGAGTGGGTGCCCATGGGCATTTCCGGAGTCGGGCACGGTGGGCGGTGTACCCCGTCTCACTTACCCAGCATGCCTTTGTTGGAGTCCGACAAGCACATGTCCTTCTCGGCACTGGGGAGCACAAACCCCACCACGAAGACCTCAACGCCGTCGGCCATGAGCGCCAGCCCCAGCACAAAGTAGAGTGTCCACTGGAAGCGGCCGTGGCCACATTCGCGCAGGATGGTCTCATACTGTTGGGCCAGCTCTTCCCGTTCCTTCCGCCGCTGCGCTTCTCCGCGGCCTCCGCGGGGACCCTCCCCATCGCCTAGGCCCCCCCTCACACCAGCCAGCGGGGCCCCGTCTGCCATCTGCCCGCCTTTGCCCCCAGATTCTGCGCGGGGGATGCCCTGGTACTCCCCCTCGTAGATCTCGTCATCCTCGTCGTGGCCCTCCGTGGCATCGCTGGAAGCACCCCCTTCCTCCTCGTCCTGGGCCCCTTCCCCGCGGTAGTAGCTGTCGGCGGGGGCTGGGAAGTCATCGTCGTCGTCCTCCTCCTGGAAGCGGGAGTAGGATCTGCGGGAATATTCGTCCTGGACCCGGTCCAGGCCCTTCCCCACCTTCTTGGCTGCGTGCTTCTTCACTTCCTTGGCGATGTCCTTGGCGCCCCGAATGAACGCCGCCCGATCTCGGGAGCCCTCTTCCATGGTGGGCTCAGGGGGTCTCCAAAGCACAGACCCTCTCCTGCTCCCGACTCAGCGCAAAGACTCAGAAAGAACCCCGTCCCCAAGTTACAGCAAACGGGTGCGCATGTCCTTGGGATGGGAGAGGACAGAGAATGGCCAGTGATCGTCCAGGAGGAGGAAGGAAGTGGAGCGCTAGTCTACGCCCAGTTCAGCAGGGTGCATGGGGGGAGGGCTGGGGTCCCAGACAGGAAAGGGGAGCCAGAGGGGGCGCTGAGGCACTGAACTCCAGGACGACAGCACTTTCTCTTCCCTTAGCGCTGGAGATCTAGAAAAGAAAGCAGAAGCAAAAAGAGGGTGTGTGAGGCTTAAGAGGCCAACTCAAACGTCCACCTGGAGGGGTTGGAGTGACAGTACAGCAGGTAGGGCATTTGCTCTGCACGCGGCCGACCTGGTTTCGATTCCCAGCATCCCATATGGTCCCCCGAACACCGCCAGGAGTAATCTCTGAGTGCATGAGCCAGGAGTAACCCCTGTGCATAGCTGGGTGTGATCCAAAAAGGGAAAAAAAGTCAACCTGGAGCCATGCCTAGGACAGTGGCTCTTCCTTGCTTCCAGCTGGTCCGCAGTCCCTCCCACGTCCAGTCCCTTGACCATCAATCTTTGGAGGACAGAGAAGAAATCAAGGAGACCAGGCTCCCTAATCCACTCGAATCTGGGTTCTCTGTCTTGAGGGAGCTCGGGGCATTGGGAAGAATGTGTCGGGGAGGGCCCCGGTTCCGGCCTGTTGCCAACAGTCTGCAGGGGCACCAGAAGGGGGGCTCCATGTTAACAGTCCTCTCAAGGAGGCCGCTGTCCAACATAGCCCAGTGGGCAAAACCGAGGCCAGCCACACAGTGACCATGGACGTGAAACTCCAAGTCATGGAGTGTCCTCAGATTTCCAAAGGGGAAGGAAATTATTAAATGTGATGCTGTAAAGAAGTTCTGGATCACTGGACATGGCACGTGGAAAGGGATGAAGAAGCATAAGCAGTTTCACTCTGTGGCGCTAGTCAGTGAGACGCTATTCGACTTCAGGCAGCTACGATGCCTCCAGGACAAGACCCATAGCAAAAGCCATGGAGGAGGGGGGAGCCGGGTGATAGGGCCACGAGGCGGGCACTGCCTTGCACACAGCCAGCCGAGGTTGGATCCTCAGACCACCTATGTCCCCCTCTGCCTGCCCTGAGCCTGCCAGGAGCGAACCCTGAGTGCAAAGCCAGGAATAAGCGCCGAGCGCCACTGCTGTGGTGGTCCAAAAACCAAACCAAACCAAAAAGCCACCTCTGGATGTGCTTCAGGCTGAGCAGAAGCCAAGGGAGAAAGGCAAGTCCATGCAAAGGCCAACTTGTGGCATGACCTGGAGGGAACCGCTGGCACTTACTAACCTCGGGCAGGTGGGTTTTGGAAGTCCTAGGAAACAAAGATCTTGAACCGGTGACGGGGAATGTGCATTGGTGGAGGGATGGGTGTTTGATCATTGCATCATTGTAACTCAAACATGAAAGCTTGTAACTGTATCTCCCGGTGATTCGATACATTGAAAAATAAAGAAAGAGGGGCTGGAGAGATAGCACAGCGGGTAGGGCGTTTGCCTTGCACGCGGCCGACCCGGGTTCGATTCCCAGCATCCCATGTGGTCCCCTGAGCACCGCCAGGAATAATTCCTGAGTGCAGAGCCAGGAGTAACCCCTTGCATCGCCAGGTGTGACCCCCCAAAAAAATAAAAAAGAAAGAAAGAAAGAGAAAACAACGCTCCATCCCCCAGGTCCAGTGTGAGAGCCTTTACCCACAGACTAAGTGGATTTGTAATTTTCTTCAGTCACATTGAAAACTGAGAAGGAAGCGTGGCAAGGAGCAAGGGAGGGCCACGCGGAGAAGCTGCCATCCAGGACCCCAAGCCCAGTGCCGGCCCCTGCCTGTCCACGCTCAGACTACCCGCAGCAGAGCCCTGGTCAGACAGCAGAGCAGACGCCCCAAATGAGGGAGCCCCAACCAAGGTCAAGAAGAAGAGGCCAGAGCAAAAGCTCAAGAAGGCATGATGAACCCGGCCATCTGCTTCTTCAGGGCACTCCACGGGGGCCCCTCTCACTGCAGGACCGGGACCGGTAAGGACAGCTCAATGAGGCCATTTCCAACATGGAGCTTAGTGCCTCACCCTCCCCTCCTGGTCCTCGGAATCCTCGTGCTCCTTCCCAGAAGCCCAGACTGCAGAGCCTAGGAGGCTGGTGCGGCAGCAGACCTGGGTCTCCCCCAAGGACGCCCTTGGTGGGGGGGGGGGGAGTCAGAGAAGAGCCCCCTCCTGCACTGACACTTGGCCCTGGTCAGGGATCCTGCTTCTCTCTGCTCCCTGCCAGCCAGGCCTTCACCAACAGCCAGTCACACACCTATGCACACAGGCGCGCGCACATCCACAAACACATGTGTGCGCGCACACATACATGCATCATACAAATCCATGGATGTAATAGGTGCACATGCACGCACATTACACGCACACATGCTAGCACCCAGAAGCCTGACCGGCCGCGGGTTCGAGAGCAGCGCTGGTCAGCCGGGCTGGACCCCTCCGGTCAGACGCAAGCAGCGGGCCGTGGAGACCCGGAGTGACCCCGGTACCTAGACCCGCGTGGGCCCAAACCCTCCCCTCCCTCGGGGGGCCCTGCGTCCGTCCTTCCGTGGGCAGTTCTCCTGTCTTTCCCAGCTCGGAATCCCCCCGCCCCCAAACCCAAGAGCCGCATGCGACCCTGGCCAGGAGGGCCAGGAGCCGTGGCCGGCATCTGAGCCCCCGGGTCCAGCCCAGGGGCTCCAGAGCAGCGGCCCCAGGGCCACCAAGCCCGCCAGGTCAGGAGAGAGAAGCACAGATTCGAGGGAGCCGGGCCGGGAGGAGCGCGGCTATTTTTAGCCCCCGAGAGCATCGGCTGGTGCAAAGCGTGAGCGGGAACCGGAGTCGGGGTGGCCGCGGGGGGACGCGGCGCATCTGCAGACGGAGAAGGGGGCTGGGGGGGAGGGGGGCTCGGGAGCTCACGGGGTCCGCACGCGCCCCACGCCCACCCCAGCGCGCGGCACGGGCGTGGGTGACAAGGTCACGAAGCCTCGCCCGAGCAGGAAGGGGGCGGCGATCCCCGGACCCCCGCCCCGGCCGGGGGGCGCCCCCCGAGCCCGGGGAGACCGAGGAGCCACAGCTGCGAGGAGACACGGATGACGGAGTCAGCCGGGGAGGGGGCGGGGGCCGGGGGCGCGGGGGGCCCACCCGCACCCCAGGCCCCGCCCGGCCCCGCCCGGCCCCGCCGCCCCCGCGCCTCCCCTCGCGGGTCCGCGCGCCCGGGCCCCCCCCGCAGCCCCCTCCTCGCCCCCGGGCCCCCCTCGCCGCCCTCCCGCGCCGCGGGTCCTCACGCCCACGTCCCCGCGGACCCCGGATCCGGAGGGAAGGTGAGGCCGCGCTCACCCTCTCCCGCGCCGGCCAAGGTCATCCATCACCCGCGGGGGCGCGGCGAGGCGGGCGGGGGCCCCCCGCACCCCGATCGCGCCGGGGGGACCCAGGGCCGCGCACACATGCACGCGACGCGGACCCGGACACGGACACATACGTGCTCCACGCGTGCGGGGCGCCGGGACCCGCGCGCTCCGGGACCCCCGACCGCCGCCCTCGCCGGAGCGCGCGGGGACCGCCCGGGGGGCGCGGGGGTCTCACCTGGCCCGAGCCCGCGGCGTGGGCTCCGGCGGCGGCGCGGCGGCGTCTGCGCCCGGCCCGCGGCAGCGACACTGCAGACCTGCCCGCGCCGCCCCGCCCCGCCCCGCAGCCTCGCGAGAGACGGGGGAGGGGGGATGCGGGGCGCGCGGCCGCGCCGAGGCGCTGGGGAGGGGGCCCGCGCGGGGCGGGGATCCCGGGAGCGGGGACGCGGGACCAGCGGGGCTGGGCTGGGGGAGCGGAGGTGGGAGGTGGGAGGGGTGGGAGGGGGCGCCCCCCTGGCCTGCCCCCCACCCCACCCCCCAACATTTCCTGGCGTCTCCCAGAAACAGGTGCGGACTGGGCACTTGCGGAAGGAGCCCCCGGCGTGCCCCTGGACTGCCCCCCGGACCCCTCCCCGGACCTGGGGTCTAGGAAGGGCTTCCAGGCCTGATCCTCACACCTGGCCGCGGTCACTGCGCGTTCCTCCTGCTCTTCCTTTGCAGGCGTAGGTCCCCCCACCCCCCGCCCACCCCCCAAGCACATTCCCGTTCGGTCCATTTCGGTGTGTTGTTGTGATGGCCAGGGGACGCCCACATGTGGATACACACCAGACCTGAAAAATAACTTCCCCAGCACACGGGATAAGAACCTTTCACTACTGGGTAGTCCAGCCTGGTGCTTGCTGACTGCTCGGCCTTGATCCCTCCCTTCTTCCTTCCTTCCTTCCTTCCTTCCTTCCTTCCTTCCTTCCCTCCCCCCTCCCTCCCTCCCTCCCTTCCTTTCTTCCCTCCTCCCTTCCTTCCTTCCTTCCTTCCTCCCTTCCTCCCTTTCTTCCTCCCTCCCTTCCTTCCTTCCTTCCTTCCTTCCTTCCTTCCTTCCTTCCTCCCTCCCTCCCTCCCTTTCTCCTTTCTTCCTTCCTTCCTTCCTTCCTCCCTCCCTCCCTTTCTCCTTTCTTCCTTCCTTCCTTCCTTCCTTCCTTCCTTCCCTCCCTCCCTCCCTCCCTTCCTTCCTTCCCTCCTCCCTTCCTTCCTTCCTTCCTTCCTCCCTTCCTCCCTTCCTTCCTTCCTCCCTCCCTTCCTCCCTTCCTTCCTTCCTTCCTTCCTCCCTCCCTCCTTCCTTCCTCCCTCCCTCCCTCCCTTTCTCCTTTTTTCTTCCTTCCTTCCTCCCTTCCTTCCTTCCTTCCTTCCTTCCTTCCTCCCTCCCTCCCTCCCTCCCTTTCTCCTTCCTTCCTTCCTTCCTTCCTTCCTTCCTTCCTTCCTCCCTCCCTTCCTTTTCTTTCTCCTTTTCCCCCCCTTTTTTAAACTACACCAGTGGTGGGCTCAGGGCTTCCT